ATCTTGGTAACTCTGCTGGGCCAAGGGGCCAAATACCTTTGTGCATTTGCCCCCTGCCTCCCACCAAGCCTCAATTCTTGCACTGACAAAGCCTCCCTCGGCACCTCCTGTGGCACTCAGGGGTTCTTCAGAGAGGTGTTGCTGGGCCATGCTGAGGTATGAGTTCATTTGTCATTTCAATCCTTGCTTGGCTGATCCCTCTAGGAGGGCAGTGAACTACCCTCAACTGTGGTTGGCCCATCCCTTCTTCAGCCGCTCATAACTCAGCTTACAAGTCTGTTCCTGCAAGCTGCTCTATAGATGTCCTTGGGGCCACACCTGCAAACCCAGGGTTGCTTCCCCCGCAGGCATCCACCTAGGGGTCACCTGCCATTGTTGTGCAGGGTAACTCAAACACGTGTTTGCTGTCCCTGGGAGATGGCTCAGGGAGTTCCCTGCTGAGTTTCTCTGCCAGGAACAGCTAGAGCCCATGAGTGGCAGTCTGACTTTCAGAGAGCCTTGGAGTCTTTTTCAGTGAAATATGGGGTGATGATCAGTGTCCACATGATAAGTACCAGTAGGTAGGGGATCCCTACTTCTGCCAGTCCAACCTGACCGGTAGAAAGTGTAGGTCTACATGTTGTTGGGAAACCACCAAGCTAACCTTTGGGTTGGAAGGAACAAAGAGACACTGGGGATAAAATTTAAACACCAAAACATTAGCAATTAAAAATCATTTTTTAAAGTGCCACCACTTAGCGACCCCTTATGATGGAAACAAATGGATCTCTTTCCCTGGAGTTGTACAAATGGCCCTGTGGTCAGATACTGTTTCAAGAGCTAGACAGATGTTCATTTTCATTTTTCACAATCCTCTGAGAGGGATTTTCTCCTCATTTAAAAGGTTAATAGCCAGGTTCTTGGCCTGAGAAATCCAACATGCAGGGGCCAGCGACCAGGGCACAGCACAGCTGGGACAGAAACCAGATCTGCCATCTCTATACCCTGAGCATGGAGCCACTGAGCAACAACCTCACGGTGGGGTCTTCAGGTCAGAATGCTACCCACTCTGTCTGGGGTGTAAGAGTTTATATCCCACTTAGCCTTCAGAGATTGAGCATGAGGGTACCAGATGGACAGGCGGGCATCCTGATTCTGCTGCCGCTAATAATAGCTCTAGGCTGGTCACCCTCTGTAGGCCTGTTTCCTTACCTGTAAAAGGAACGAAAGATCCACTTTATTGGATTCTTCTGAGGATTAAAGCAGTTAAACATACACAGTGCTTAGACCAATCAGGAGTCAAGAAATGTGAGGGAGGATTATTTGAAAATGGGTATTCAGGATCTGGCATGGGGGCTCACATGGAATCCTAGCACTCCAGGAGGCCGACACAGATGAATTGTTTGAACTCAGGAATAGACATCAGCCTGAGCAAAAGCAAGACACTGTCTCTAAAAATAGCTAGGCATTACGGTGGGCACCTATAGCCCCAGCTACTAGGGAGGCTGAGGCAAGAGGATCACTTGAGCTCAGGAGTTTGAGGTTACTGTGAGCTGTGACACCACAGCACTCTACTGAGGGTGACAAAGTGAGACTCTATCTCAAAAAAAAAAAAAAGAAGAAGAAGGAGAAAGAAAAGAAGATAAGCAGAAGTGCTAAAGTCTTTAACTCTTCTCCACCAGAAACAAACGCTATGTGGGCCCAGGTGAGATGGCCTTGTACTCCTTCCATAGATGGTAGAGACTTAGGCCCTGCTGGGCAGAATGCAGACTCTGTAACTGAAATCCCCAATACTCCCACCCCCCCCACCCCACCCCCATCCCCGTCAGGGCCCTCGCCCACTCCTGAGGGCAACGGTTTCAGCAGTGGAGGAGAACTCCCACCATCAGAACCCCAGAGACATAGGGAGGGAGATGCCATCCCTGACTCCAGGGAAGACCAGGCCCATGTTACTCCCTGTGCTCCCTAAAGCAGCAGTGAGGGAGTCATGGATTAGCTCTGATTGTTTGTGGTTCAGGAGGACTTCTGCCTGCCCTTGGCGTCACCCCTGCTAAATCTGTTGACAGACCAAGGCGGGGCTGGTGCCAGGACTACTGATAGCGTCAGCCAGGGCCCCAGCATAGAAATAGAAGGGAGCTGTCTCTGATCTCAGGTCTCCTGGGGGACAATGGGCAGGAGGGGAGAGATTCTGTAGGGCCAGGAAGGGAGGGGCTTGCCCCATGCCTGCGGGGCTCCTGTGATAGCAGGGAGGACGCCTGGCGCCTGTGGGGCTGTAACTGCTTCCTAGCATTAAATCACAACCCTTCCCCACCTCCTAAGACCCCCTTCAGCACTAGAGGACTCCCCAGGGCTTCTCCTACAATTAGGCCCTGCTCATAGAATCCTGGTGGGGGGAGAAGGAGGCAAAGAACAGAGAGGGGGAGAGGGACCCACAGAAGTGCCCCATTTGGGGACTGAGCTGGGGATGGGGGCTTGGGGGCAGAAGCTCTGGGGAAGGGTGGGGCATAGAACAATCCAAAGGAGAGCTGACAAATTCCATACAAGAAAGAGAAACAGAAAGCAGCTATGAGGCCGCAAAAAGACACAAAGGAACCTCAATGCACGTTGCTAAGTGACAAAGCCCATCTGAAAAGGCTACATATTCTGTGATTCCAACTACATGACACTCTGGAAAAGGCAAAGCTATAGAGACAGAAAAGCTCAGTGGCTGCCAGGAGTTAAGGGAGGGAGGGAGGACTATGTGGAGTGCAAGGGCATTTGTGATCAGGGGAGCTATTCTGTTTGATATTGTAACATGATGTCATCACACACCTGCCAAAACCCTCAGCGTGCACATCACAGACTAAACCTTACTGTAAACATGAGCTGCAGGATTGGTTCTTCATCTGTAACAAAGGCCCACACTAATGCAGCATGTGCGTGAGAGGGAATGTGCAAGGGAGGGGATGCTCTGTCCTTTGGGCGTAATTTGTCTATAAACCCCAAAATGCTCTTGTAAATAATTAAGTCTATTAATTAAAGGAAACACACACACACAGGTATAAAAGCAAAACCTGAAAACAAAGTCAAAAAAGCAACACCAAGTGGGCTGGGCTGGAGTGAGAGCAGCTGCCCAAGGGCACACTCCTGGGCACTGGCCTGGGGATTTAGGAGGGAAAAGGGCCAAGGAAGTGTGGCTGCCATTTTGCTCTCGGCTCCTGCCTCAAACCTAGTACCCTCACAAAGGTCATTTCATCAGATTTCTTTTTCCCTCATATCACTTAAGAAATCTTTCTTTCCACAGTTTTGGTGCCAAAGCCCCCAACAATCTGGTTAAAAGGATTTGGGGCATCTGGCTGGTGAATGTAGGGGAGGTTTTAGTTTATTTATTTTAATTTTTTTTTGAGACAGAATCTCACTCTGTTGCCCTGGCTAGAGTGCCGTGGTGTCAGCCCAGCTCACAGCAACCTCAAACTCCTGGGCTCAAAGGGTCCTCCTGCCTCAGCCTCCCAAGGAGCTGGGATGACAGTTGCCTGCCACCACACCCAACTAATTTTTCTATTTTTAGTAGAGACAGGGTCTCATGCTCTTGTTCAGGTTGGCTTCAAACTCCTAAGCTCAAGGGATCTTTTTGTCTCAGTCTCCCAGGGATCATAGGTGTGAACCACTGCACCTGACCCATAGGGGAGGTTTTAACTTTAGGCAAGCTACCAAAAGTGATATCCTCATCTAGGGAGCATCCTTCACTGATCCTCAAGGTTTTAAGTTTAAGAGGCAGGGTCTTGGCTCGGCGCCTATAGCTCAACCGGCTAAGGTGCCAGCCCCGTACACCTAAGGTGGCGGGTTCGAATCCCCAGCCCGGACCCGCCAAACAACAATGACGGCTGCAACCAAAAAATAGCCGGGCGTTGTGGCGGGCGCCTGTGGTCCCAGCTACTTGGGAGGCGGAGGCAGGAGACTCGCTTGAGCCCAGGAGTTGGAGGTTGCTGTGAGCTGTAATGCCATGGCACTCTGCCCAGGGGGACAGCTTGAGGCTCTGTCTCAAAAAAAAAAAAAAAAAAAAAAAAAAGAGGCAGGGTCTCACTGTGTTGTCAGGCTGGTCTTGAATTCCTGGGCTCAGGTGATCCTCCTGGGTAGCTGTGTCTACAGGCAACACACTGCAGTGCCCGACTTGCCTCTCGGCACCTTTAATGCTAACTCAGCCGGTTTCCATCAAGCCTCAGCTGTCACATTTCACATTCTGATTCCTGCAGGGGCACAGCCTGCACCCAGGAGACAGGAGCTGCTCGCCTGCCCATGGAATGGGCATGTGACTCCCAACCACTCCCATACCCCCCAGAAGAGGGCTTCCTTCCCATGCCCCTGAATAGTAATTCTCCTTAGAGCCAGGGCCCCCAAAAGAATGGCCCATCAGTTCTGGGCCCAAGAAGCCACTGGGTTCACACCGCTTGGTGACAGGTAGGTTCTCAACAGTGGCCGGGGGGTATTAGGAGAGAAAAGGGCCAATTAAGTGTGTTGAATGTTTAATGTGGAAAGAGGAATAAAGCCTCAGCTTCTATGGGGAACTGGAATAACCTGGCTGATCTAAGCTCATGACTTACCTTTTTACTATTTATTTTTATACTTTACATTAATGTTAAGCACAGGCAGATATGTGAAAATGCTGCTGAGTTGGGACCCCATCTATTTACTTAGTGCTGTGAACCTCAGGAGGGAGGAAATGACAGCATGCTGTGAGAATTCCTGTCCTGCAGGGGGCACTATGCAAACTGTCAGAAGCACAGACGCCACTTCCAGGCAGGAGGCAGCCTGGTGGAGACAGGGGTTGATGGACGGCTGGGAGAGAGGAGATGAATAAAGATTGTATAGAGACCCCAGGTGAGTCAACAGGGCCATGAGGGGCACTTCTGCAAGGTCTTAGGGAGGGGGTGTGAAGGAAAGACTGATGTGGTCGGGGTGTCAGTGCACAGTCCCACCAAGACCTTTCTAAGTGGCACAACCTACACAGCCGGGGGATCCAGCCCATGCTCTCATTGCAGCCAGGCAGGTTAATTTCTCTTTATTTTTTCAAAACAAAACTAAAAATCACCATTCAAAATATTTGAGAAGAGTGCTCAATCACAGTTAAAAGCTTTCTGTAATGGGCAGCCAGAAGGTCACATCCTGGTGGTCAGAAATGAGCACTCTGGCTTTGCTCAGCCAGGGCGGGCAGCCCGAGCCACGCTCTCCTTCCTTCTCACCTCGGGTACTGTTCTCCTGGTGCTGCCATCCAGCCAGCAGCGCACAGCTGGCTCAATCCTGCTGAGGCCAGCGGCACCCACAGAGTAAAAGGCATTTCTGTTCTGTGCTGGGCTTCTGATTTCACTGGGTGGTGTGGTGAGGCCCAGCACACCCCTACCCCCATCACAGGCCCTGAACCATCCACAGAGAAGGCCATGGGCCAAGGCCTGCATGCTGATGCTCTCAGAATAAAGATTAAAAGTTCAGTCCCCGGAAGGGTTAGCTCCTGTCTGTGCCTCCTGGGTCAAGGGGTAGAAAAAGTGATTTGGTGTCATCATCGCTCATGCTTGATGTTGGCTTCACTCCGCTCCAAGGCGACCCCGTTGCCATTCCGGGGGGCTTCCTTCTTGCTCCAGTCCTTCTCAGTGTAAAACTCAGCCAGCACAGGACAATGTTCAGAAGCCACTCCACCCCAAGACCAGTTATCTGGAATCCAAGGGTTCGTGAGACCTTCTCTCACTACAGCCCAGTGACCTGACAGGAGAGGAAAAAGAGACTCAGAAATCAGGGTGAAGGGTGGGTGGGATCCCGTAAGCTGGGGTGCCTGGCTGTGCTGCTCAGATAGTTGACTTGCCTGTGCAGACAAAAGGTCTTAGTCAATTTGATTTTCCACATAAACGAGGGCTGGTGCACTTCAGCATTGAAACTACACAGAGGCCCGGCCTCCCACCCACACCAACGCTCCTCAGCACGTGGGCTGACCTCCTGGTTTAGGCACCGCTACGATCTTCACCAGAGAGACGGGGACAGGAGCCTCGTAAAGATGCCTAAAGGGAATGTCCTATTTTTGCAAAGCAAAAGACACTAAGAAGAGAGAAAATAAATTCTATAGAAAAGATAAGAATCGTCGCGCCTTCGGCGGCTGCGCAGTGCGCACGTCAAAGCCGGGCTCGGTCCCGGAGCGGGGCGCGGGGATCGGGGATCGGGGAGCGGGGAGCGGGGATGGGG